TTCCAAATCTTGAATATAAGAAAATTGGACTTATTCAATGGCAACTTTGCTGCATATTTGGAATAATAATATGAAAATTTTAATTTTCTAAACTTAATATGATATAAATGTTACAAATATACAAAAATAAAAAGGGAAATGTAATGTGTATAAAGCAAAATAACCATATCAACAGTAAAAAATATCATTTTTTTTTAATAAACTAAGCCCTTTAGAAAATTGATTTTTTGAGAAGTGATTTTTTTGGAACTTGTGAAAAAATAGAAAAATGTAATGGAGAAACGAGTGTGAGAAAAAATGTGATTTTGTAAAATTGACTTCAAATGAGGGCTAAATTTAACATTTTGAAAGAGAAAAAGGAGAGCAACAAGAAATAATCTACTTAGTAGCATTATGCAATAAGATTACAAATGACACAGATCGATACAAATTATTGACGTCAAAAATTGCTAAGCACAATTTTTTTGCCAACTTTCCTAGGCAAATCATTGCGTCACTGGATCGTGGTTCAATTGGTAGGTCATTCCTGAATTGTAATTTTAATTAAAATATTTTTTTAAGACGAAGGACAACAATCTTCCTAAATATAGAGTATATATGTATTAGTTCACTATTGTTATACAAGGTCGCATGTTGCCATAATGGTTATGGATGTGATATTTCACTTCAAATGCCAATGTTCGAATCTCTGCCGTTGCATATTGAAGAAAAAATTTGCACTTGACTTTGTCATAAATCGGTTTAGCCTTGAACTAGTTCCAAGTTCATCTAAAACCATACAATTCGACCATTATAGTGGGCGGTTCAACCGAACTTTGACCGGTTCACTTGCTAAATGTACCAATTATAGCAACCGAACTGGATCACAATCTAGTTTGCTGATTTTTGAGTTGCATTGACAGATCTGGTCCAATTTTAATAACTATACTTTTTATCGATAATGGAGGTTACAAGTATGTTTCTTTGTGGAAGTGAATGGCTTCCATGGTCCCTCCCTTTTGGAGGGGACCATCCTTTTCTATTTATAGAGTGAATTAAGTCTAATTCTCTTAGAATTATGTCTCGTCAATTGGATCATTCATAATACCGAGCTTGGTTTGTGTGTCGCAAATCTTTTTTTTTATTGGCTAGAGAGGTCGGCTCCCATCAAATCATAATAATACCCTCCTTTTGTCAGGAAATCATGACTTACTTTAAGATAAGTAGTTATAGTAGATAATTGGTGGGTTTGGACGATGCTGAAGTCACTTCTTCTAAGTTTCTTTGATTGATTGGACGATTTGACAAGGTGTAAGGGATGTGTAATCATTGTGCCTCTTAAAATTACGGCGGTAGCAAGATCGAGTTGAGGTTACAAACTCAACCTGGGGTGTATACGAGATAGGTGCTCACCTCAGCTTAAATGAAGTCGGAGAATGGTGGTAAACACAAATTATTAAAACTTGGCCTTTCAATCTAATATATTTGTCTTCCTTTTCTTTTTCCTTTATTAAGCCCCTGTTTGGCTCAAATTCTAATTTGAGTCAAAATCAAACAATCAATATTCACTAAATCTTTTACAGATCCTACAACTTTTCAATCACACATTTCAAATATTTCTATCAAAATCTACTAAAAATCTAATTTTAATCTCCACCAAACAACCTCTAAATTTTTATGACATATATGTGTTAATTTGTTAATTTTTGCCAACAAAAAATTCATTCTTGGTGTATTTAAAAGGAGAAATTGCACAATTCAACCCCTCAACCTATTGTTTACATTAGTTTTTAATGACAAAAATCGTCCAAATCCACGCGTGAACTAATACCAGTTTAAACAATGAGTTAAAAGTTGTGTTTATATCAATATTTACCAAGTGGATCATTCTTGTTTTGTTTTGTTCTTAAAGTAAATATTATCTTATATAGTTTATTTATTGTTTTTAGCCTCTCCTGGGATATAATTTACAATTGATTCATAAATTTAAATAAAGGTAAATATTAATTTCAATTGTACATTCATGGTGAAATCCACTATTATTCTTTTACATAAATTAATTTATAAATTTGTCAAGCGGACAACTTAATATCCTCAACAATATACAGTGCTAATTAAATGAACTTGTTACTAATTAACCCTAACGATTATCACTTATAGAGATTTCTTGATTTTCTTAGATAGTCAAAAGCAGCGAGACGCTGTATTTTCAATATTGAATTTTATATTGGATTAAACCTCATATTTCTTAGTAATAGACCTAATACAAGAATAAATGGAATATGATTGCCATATGCTTATTTAATTATTCACCAATAAAAAGTAATGGATAGTGGATACCACCTTGATTCTTAAACATGTATTCAGAATTTGGTGTTGCGAAATGTTTAAATTTTTAAACTACAATTTCAAAAAAAAAAAAAAAAAAAAAAAAAAAAAAAAAATTAAAAAAGTAGAATTGAAATGAAAAAAGAAAAAGTAATCGGTGGGTTCCAATCCTGTCATCCCTATCCATTCTTCTACTCTGGATAGTAACGATGTGTCCATTGAGAGTGATTCAAATTGGATATACATATTTTCATCCTATAACGAGATCTTCTTATATCAACTAGTTCCTTCCTATATTTGTGATTGTTTTCCCTAAAATATATTTGACTTGATTGCATCGACAGGGATCAGAATCCATGATCTACTTCATCGGCTGTATGCTTTACACCTAATCCTTCCAAACTCAGAGCTTTTGGGCATCAGGATCAGAGTCTCACCTATGACTAGGTTTTGGAACAAGCAAGAGGAAGATGCGGTAACGGATAGTTCTCTACAAAAGATACACAAGCAATCGCCATGAGAAGAGCGATTCCTAGGGGTTATATTCCCGCTCAGGGCCAGACCCACCTTAGGCTCAGCTAAGCTTTGGGCCCTAGGATATTGAGACCCAATAATTTTTATTTTATCCTCAAAATCTCATCCCTACCAACGATTCAAATTTTGTCTGCAACTCATTTTCTTTCATCTCCTTGAGCATAGCAATGACTTCATCAGTTCTAGCAACCATAAATAAGAAGATACTTTAAGTAGTGTAGATAACATTATCAAGTTTCAGATCGGCAGTTTCATCTCATCAACAGTTTTCCTGGCTTCCTTCAGTCTTCCCTCCTTGCAGAATCCATTCGTTGTCGCCGAGTAATTTATTAAATTAGGATTACATCCATTCTTCTTCATGAATTCGACCACCTCCTTATCTCTATCAGTTATTCCTCCATAAGAAAACCCATTCATTAACTGTTAGTTAAGGCATCAGACACTCTGATGTTTTGTGAGCATTTCCTCAAAATTGTAACTCTGCGCTTAAATAGATTGATATAACCAAATTAACTGTTAAATGTTGTATAAAGAAGTATTCGGGGGTGAAATTATGGATAATTTTTTTTTTTTTTTTTATTAAGACCGTGAATGTCCGACCAGTTTACGCACACATCGACTAATTCCACGAGACTCTAAAGTTTACAGTCGAGTACTCACCTCAATAGCCATGAGAGGACTCGAACAAATATAGATAAATATAATCAAAATACCATTACGGATTGTATAAATAAGTATCAAGGGTGTTGATACTTCTTCAACTTAAAAGAATGCTTAACTTCTTAAATCTTAAAAGACAATTATATTTTAAATTTTCTTGAATTTTAATAAGGATTAAAACATGTATTATATACTACAATTCTGCACAAGAGATCAAAGTCAGGTTAAGAAAATATTTACATTGTCTAATTGATTCTAGTGGAGTCAAAAATTGACATGTGAATCAAAAGGGATTTGATTCTAGTGGTGGAGATTCCTTTATAGAGAGCCACGTTTTCTGTCAAGTTAGTGGGAGCTTGCTTTGGACATTCCATTATTTCAACAAGGCCGTTGAAGTGATGTGGTTGTGGTGAGAAATAATTTGATTTCGACTTTCATTTCAAATTTTATATGAAATAAATAAATAAATGATTGGTAAGAAATGAGAAGAAGAAGAAGAAAAAAAAAGAATTATAGTTAAATATTGCAACTATAAACCTTCTCTTATTGCAGGGGAGGATAAAATAGTTCACATCAGTCAATTTATTGATGGACCATACACCTAAAAAATCTCGTTCAAAGTTCATTTAGAATTTAGTCCCTATCTGCCTATCATTCTCGAAAAATTCTCTCCTTCTAAAAAATTAATAATAATAAATTATTTTCAATCACATACGAATTAAGCCCCTATCTGATGATCCTTTTTGTGTAAAAAATAATATTTTGACTAGTGATCTTTTGAGAATTTGTGATAAATAAGTGAAAAATATTTTTTAAATTTATGTGCAAAATATTTTATTGTGTGAATATGAGAAATAAATTATTTCGTTTTAAAGAGAGTCAAACAGTGACTAAAATATTTTACACATAACCCTAAAACTTTTTCTATTTTATAACTGCACATTTTTTCAAAAATCATTGTTTTGATATTCATTTTCCTAAAAAACCTCTTTTTAATAAGCATCAAACAACGATTTAGTAGTCGAGATCAGCTCACAATTAGGAGTGGCAAATGGGCCCAAGTCTCTCGCCTGCTCGGCTCAAATCCGTCCATGGCCTGCTCGGGATCGTATTGAGACGAGCTCAAAATTTAATTTTTTTTCACGAACCGTTAACGCTTAAAAAGAGAGTCAATTCGTGCTTGGTTCAAACGAGCTGAAGGGTCGGGCCGAGCATTGTTTGTACACACCAGTCACCAGAAGAGCTCCAGCTAGGCGCTGAGGCGTTTAAGCGAGCTTGACCCAATGCCTCCCCTATTCTCAATCATAGGCTAAGGCTATGTTTGAGCCAAATTTTTTCAAAAATATACATGATTTGATATTATTTCAACCACACATTCTTCAATAAAATAATATTACATGCAAATTTAAAAATTTTCTTTATTTTTTAACCATACATTTCCCATCAATACACCATTCAAAAATGCATTCTTAGGAATATAATGTGGCCCAAACAAGGACTAAAGAACCAAATTCAAAATGTAAACTTTGGAAAGAAGCAACAGATGTTTCACACATAACCAAATATCACTTCGATTGAAAAAGCTCAAATACTTTACACGAGTAAACGAGACATACGAGGATATTATAAAGTAAAACGGAAGTTCAACGACAGAATAAAGAACCCGTAGGGGGAACGGACAAATTACAGAGCTTTTAAGATATCTTCGGCGCTGGAAACTGTGAACTCTCCACCTTCCTCAATATTAGCAACTTTCACCTTCAAGTCCTCAACCAAAAGAGCAAACCTCCTGGACCGAGTGCCAAGCCCTTTCTCCGAGAGGTCGAGCTCAAGACCAAGTGCCTTAGTGTAACTTGCAGAGCCATCGGCTAGAAACTTAACATGCTTATTGTCAGGGTAAGTTTTTGCCCATGCCTTCATCACAAATGGGTCATTGACTGCAAACAAGAAACAAATAAAAGGTCAAGACTTTATAAAGAATCGTCCTAGCTAAAATCATTGGGTGTCAAATTTTCTCTGCTATGTAGAGAAAACAAATTGGTAATTCGACTGATATGTTACAACTATAGAGATGCATTTTCAAAGATCAGAAATAACTTCAGAAGTCAAGCCTCTTCACTGTAATTATCACAAGACAGTGAAGGACATCACCTTAAATGAGGGCCTTCACAAATATAATCCAAAGACGGGTTTGGCATCAAATTTTAATCACCGTTTCAAACAAATATCCAAACCATCTGCCCACCCAGCTCCTATTTTTTCGATCAAACAGTGGTCTATACTGGAATTCACAGAGCTCTTTAGGAGCTTACAATTTGTTACAGTATTAATCTAGTTCCCGTTTGTTTCCCATTTTATGTAAAAAATGAGAATGAAAAATATATTTGTTACAGCCCCATATAAGAAATAGAAATTCAAATATGGTAACTTGATGTGATGGATAACGGTCATATTTTTCATTTTAATGGGAAAAGAATGTGAAACAAACGACAAGTATGAGATTAACAAACTTTTTCATGTACTCATAAACCGACTCTGAATCGTAGCTTGTTTTCGATTTGGATATCATGTTGACATCACTTGATGAAAATGAATACCATCATCAAAAAATGTGGAATCCTTACGCAGAATAACTACAAACACATTCTAAATTTAAGAGTACAAGATAATTTCAAACTCCAATTAGAACATTACCAATTCATTTACATTTTCTACATGGCTAGTTAACAAAGATTATTTCACTTTTTCCAATTGCTAATTTTGCCATGATAAACAAATTTCCTAATATATAACTTGTAGATGATTTAGACATATAATCAACTTCAAGAGAACAATTACTTATTACTTCAACAAAATTTTTTTCAGAAGAAATGCATAATAATGACCCACACAGTTTAATAGAAGACAAGCTTCTCCCAAATTACATGCAAGTTAATGTAGATATTTAATCCAGAATCATTAGAAAATAGACCCATAAAAATATAATGGATATCAATATCATACCACTGATGCACAAGATTTCATCAACACCCTTTGACTTCAACTCGTCAGCCTTCTCGATGAACCCAGGAACATGCTTCATGCTGCAAAACCCACCCACACCATATTAAAAAATGCACAAAAACAAAACCCAGGCACTTGAATAATCCGCCCAAAATTGACCCAATAAAAAACAAATACTTCAAAAATAAATTAACAAAATTGCTGATCGATTTGGCCAGCGAAATGCCGATTATCACAGATCGGAAATAACCTGCAAGTGGGAGTGAAAGCACCGGGAACGGCAAAAAGTATGATCTTTTTGCCGGCGGCAAGGGAGTGAATTGAAACGCTCTGGAGTTGATCATTCTCGTCGAAATAAGCTAGGGTTCCATCTGGAATTGAGTCACCAACTGCAATCGGAGCCATTGATTCGTTCAATACAGTTACTGCACAGTAATATTCGGACAACAGTGATAATTTCCAATAAGTAAGGCTGGAACACCGTCCGCATATATAGAGTTTCAATGGTGGACGTGAAATGAGCTATGAACTCCAGTTAAAGAAACAATTTGGGGTCCGCCAATTACAATAATCACGGGGTAATTGATGACACGTGGCAAGCCTGTGCTCCTTATGGCACGGCACGGCTGCAAGCCGGCTGATTCCATGTTTGATTGCTATTATTTTAAATTTTAATTTTATATCAAATAAATTTTGTAATCATACATTTCTAAAATAAAATATTTTAAACGTAAACTTAAAATTATTTCTTAAGCACTTTTTTTATTTTTGATGTTGTTGTTAATAAGTTAATGACAAATTGACCAATTCTCAGTCACCATTTTTTAATACCATAAATAATTTCCTATTACTATAGCGGTTAAATAATTAACAAATAGAATAGAGTATAATCAAGAAACTCTCTAAGGCGTTGTTTGTTTCTCATTTTTTGGTAAAAAAATAAAATAAAAAATAAGATCGTTATTCATCACGTCAACCTATATTTGACTTCCTCTCTCTTGTGTGAATCTCGTAACAACTATATTTTTCATTCACATTCTTATACGAATGAAAATCAAACGAGGGACAAATATGAAATGTTCTTTATTTTAAAAAGTCAATCATTAAAATCATGCTTGAAGAAGCTTTTTAAATTAACATTTTAATTTAGAGATGGATTTGATTCTCTAAATTTGAATAGACAAACTCACTCTATATAATAAAATATATTCAAAGTGTTTTGATTTCATTGTAGGAAAATAATAAAATAATTTAGAGAAAAATTAATTAAAATAAAAGTTAGACAAAAATAATAAATATTTTTTGGAAGTGTTAAATATAAAGAGTTTGTAGGATTATTTCAAAATTTTTACTTTCTAAATTTATAGATACTATTTAAATAATAGAATATACTTTTCAAAAATAGAGAATATCTTGGAGATATTCCTTAAAAAATAAAAATAGAAAAAAATATTACTATACTTAATCAAGAATGAAATATTAAATCGAAAAAGTTAAAGGGGTTGTTTGACAAAATTTACGGTAAAAGCTTTAACAAATCTTGATAAAAAATTGATAAAATTGTGAACCTCATGAAAAATATAATTAAAATTAATATTTAACTTTAACTTCAATTTTTAATCCCCCACCCCACCCCCCCAACCAATCCAAACCAGCCATATTTCCTCGAGAATAGAAGGAACAACTTTCAAGACCACCGATTTTAGGAGAAACGGAATTTCGCCAATGGCAAGGGGGAAATCACATCATGTTTGAATTTTATTTTATTTTTAAATTTAATTTTAACAACATATTTTATAGGATCTACAACTTTTATCAATTTTTCACTTAAAAATTTCATCAATATTTTTCAAAATCTACTAAAAATATAATTTTTAACAAAATTAAATTTTTACGCTTCCTTGAAAGGTTAAGAACACTGTTCGATCTATTTCTTTATTTTCGATAACGATGGTGTTGATGAAATATTCTCCAACTCCATGAATTTTCAATCAGTTTCATTAAATTATTCTAGAATATTTATTAAATATTTTAATTATTTGAGTCAATATATTAATTATTTTTTGGGACAGCAACGAGCAAGTCAAGGTCGATTCGGTCCTCCCTGTGACTGTCTCCACCTCATTTGGAGATTTCCAAAGAGGTGAAATTGGGACGGAAAGGGGATTAGAAGATATCTATTTTCCGTATAGATAATTTAAATCAAAAGTATGAAAAGAAAGAAAGAAATATACTTTCAAAAAGAAGGAAAAAAATATAATTTAATGAAAATGAATTAACAATTTCAAATAATATAAATGTATAAATATTTATTTTTTATTTTTTTTGCAGATAGGAGAATCTATTCTAAAAAGTCAACCTCACGAAATATTTTTGCAATTTTCAAAATCTCTGAAATTGTTATAAACGTTAGAAAATGTCAATGTAGATTACAAATAATATTATAGAAAATATTTTACTCATAAAATATATTAGCAATGGTAAATATATTATTATAGTTGAATTATATTCATTTATAAGCAACGTGTTTGACTGAAAGAATTATTCAAGTCGACGTGTATAATGAGATATCAATATTTGACATGGTATTTTAGCAATAACTCAAAAAGAATAGAAATAACAAATAAAAAATATCATATATTAGAATTAAATAAAAGGAAAATACTTTTTTTACATAATTATTTACGTAATGATGAGATGTCAAAATATAAGTGAGAAAGTGATTTGATTTATGAAATTTTGATCCAATTAAATCTCGTCACATTATTTGTTAGTAGCACAACTCTAAAAAAAATATGATATTAAGTTTGAACAATTATAAAGAGTAACAGTTCAATCAATATTTTATTATTCACGTTCTTGAAGGAATTGAGATTCAATTGTTGAAATACTTTACTATATTAATTGAATTATGACTTCGTCACTAGACAAACAAGACTAATTTAATCCTTTGATTGATTCTCGATCTTTTACAATTTCATTTATTCAAAGTTCATTTTTAACTATATTTTCTTCAATAAAATAATATTACACGCAAATTTAATTTTTTTTTAATCACACATTTTTCATCATTCTACTATTTAAAATACATTATTTCCCAAAATGGGGATCAAACAAGGGCTAACTGTGAAGATAATGTAACGTAAAGGGAGAGATCTTTGTTTATTAAATTTTTGCATTTTTGTCTTTAAATTTTTTATATTTTTGGTGTCAAAAGTCAAAAGTTCTATGAATAGAACTAGTCAAAGTAAATAAATTAATAAAAAGTAAAAACATCTTAGAAACGGTCAAAGTAAAATGAACTTAAAAACATCTTAGAAATGGTCAAAGCAAAATGAACTTATCAATTTGTTAAAAAATTCCTTTAACGAATAAATGGCGTACTCCTCATCAATGTTCTAACGAACTAAAGGTCGATAGACATTTTTTAAATTAATTTTTGTTTTTTTTGCCGACGTTTTTTCATACAGATCGACCAACCCTAATCTAGCTCGTGTGGCTTGGCCATAAATAATAGATAAAAGGGTTTTCGATGTTCTGTCGATTCTAGAAGATTATCGCATTTTATTTTTTTTTTATTTTTAAGAATACTAGAAATTCGGGCATCAAGAACTTATTAATTTGTGCACGATTATATATAATTTGGACTTCGGCTCGTTGATTTTAAATATTAAACATCAAGAATCTAAGAGATTGAAAAAGTTCAAATTTCATAATATTATTTTTCCCAAAACAACTTTGTGCTATGATGGTTTACAACCCTTACTTAAAGAAATAACTAGAATCTCGATAATTACAAAAATCTTGATAATAATAAAAATCAAGATATTTATTAAATTCTAAATAATTATTAAAATTGAAAAACAATGATTAAAATTAAAAGCCCTAATATTCAGAATGAATTCGAAATAAACGGAATTAATATTCAAATTTATTTAATAAAGAAGTACCAACTAAAAGATAATTAAAAACTTGATTTTCCTCGTTCTACTTCGATTGATGAAGAATGTTCCCGAATCTTGCATTGTGTCCTTCATCCAACTCCTCATGACAAGGACAATTCATCCGATAAGATAATTACTTCATAATCAAGAACTTTGAAATAATCCTCGGGAGTCCCCTTAGTTACCAAATTATTCTCGCCAAGCAATCAACAAAGTAATTGATATAATTTAGCCCTTGTTTGGGCTCCATTTTTAATGAGGTTTTGGACCCAAAAAAAAAAAAAAAAAGATATTTTTGGAATAGTAGTTTTTTAAAGAATGTATGGTTAAAAAGTAAGAAAAATTTTGAATTTATGTATAATATTATTTTACTGAAGAATATACGACTGAAAATGAGTTTGAAAAATTGTATTTTAGTTTAATGGAGCCTAAACAAGGGTTTAATATCCAGCTATTAGGGGTCCTCAAACCATAACGAATATAGCCAAGCTTCATGTATAGATGTTTTGTACAGAACTATTACAGAATACACATATGGCAGGATGGGTGGGTTATTTTTTATGATATTTTAATTCACTACCTTGTGACACATCTATAAAGCTTTTGTAAATTTTTTTCTGTACAACCAACTTTTTTGTAATGAATATCCTTCACTATCGTGGCCCCTCAACATCATATTAGTGGGTTACATATGCGTTGTCAACATGGGCCTTAAATGGATGCTTGCTATAATCAAATACATAGACATGCACTAACTGTTTTTGTGACAATGACAAATGGGTTTAGGGGCATATATCAAGCCCCGTTGACCTCTCCATTATAATTGATTTGTTGAATAATTTGCACTTGAAATTCTTTAAAGATTGTGAAATCTGTTCCAAGGCAGAAAGAGAAAACTGTTCCCAAACCTAGAGAGAGAACATGGATGAAATAGAATTGTCTACTTGTGTACTAAAAAATGAACGAATGGTTTATATACACCCATCCGTGCAATAATCGCCTTAACAACTTGTTGTATAAGTAGATGATAGCTCAGCAACTGTTAAACTCCACTAACAGAACTCAGGCTAAGTACATAAATACCCTTGCTGACGTCTTCCACTCGGTAACACTTCCCCTCAAGATGATTGGTAGATGTTCATGACACCCATCTTGGTTAACAACATTTGAAATCTGGCTCTCCCTAAGGCCTTTGTCAATAAGTTTGCTAGTTGATTTCGTGTAGACAGATGGATAGTCTTTATCTCATTAGATTGCACTGTCTCCCACAACATGGTAATCTAATCCTATATGCTTTGTCCTTCCATGAAAGACTGGATAACAAAAGAGCAGCTTTAGGATGATCTTCCCCCATTTCTGTCAATATCTTCTTAAGCCAAATTATCTCACAACTGTTCCAGCCATGGCTCTATAATTTGCTTCAGTCGATGACCTTGAGATGGTGTGTTGTTTCTTTGAACGCCAAGATACCAAAGAACTCCCAAGGAAGATGCAAAAGCCCATAACTAACCTCCTTGTATTTGCACATGATGCCCAATTGCAGTATAAAACCCTTTAAGTTCG